GCGGCGCGATGCAACGCGTAAAAAGACAGTATAAGTCATTATAATCCATAATTATGTCCCCACTGGATGCAACGAATGCCTCGTTTATAATAGGTTTTCATGTTTTTGAATCGTCGCTCAATTACAGCGCACTGGATAGCTGGCCAATCACAGCACACCTCGCTTTTCAGACCGATGAGCTTTGTAAAAATCGACGCGTTTCAGAAAGGCAGGGCATAGAGGAGAAACAATAATGTACAGTATGTGGAAAATAATGTGTTTTTTGAACCTTAAACCGCATAAACACATTTCATTACACCAAATACACAAAATAATGTTCTTTTAGCAACATCATATGACCCCTTTAAATGAAAGTGAACAGCTGAGAAAGAAAACGCAGTGTAAAGTTATATTGGATTCGGATGTTCGGTCTTAAAAGGGAAGCAGCCTTATTCTTCCTCTCTGTCATTCATGATGATCACACAACAGTGAGAAAAAATCTCTCACTGCTCTAGACTAAATCTCTTATCTCTTTTATACTTTAATAAGAAGAAATATAATTTGCACAGTGAAAACTGTGTTTTTGATTTCATTTATACAATGTATGTAGCATTTCTTATTGTAGTTTTTTTGCCCAATTGCTTTTAATTGGTTACTTATCTTCAGTGAGCTTGAGTTTTTTTTGTTTGGTTTTTTTTTTCTCAATTTTTTCTTTTTTAGGCTTGTATTAGGTTTTCTGTGATATTTACACTGGTGACAAGAAGGATGAAAATTCTATGGTATCGAAAACTTTGATATCATAAAAACCTTATTAAAAGCAAAAATAACTATATCGTGATATATATTGTTATTGTGATATAAAATTACTCGTATCGCGATATAAGATTTTGGTCATATCGCCCATGCCTAGTTTGAAGTTAATGTTTTAATGATGAGTTTATTACAGACATGCAGCTTTTTGCTTCACAAGATGTTAATTGATGCCCAGGAGTGGTGTTATTGTAATGTTTTTTTATCAGCTGTTTGGACTCTCGTTTTGACGGCACCCATTCACTGCAGAGGATCCATTGGTGAGCAAGTGATGTAATGCTAAATTTCTCCAAATCTGCTGCAGTGAGGAAATAAACTTGCCAACATCTTTTATGGCCTGAGGCTGAGTGCATTTTCAGCAAATTGAACTGTTCTTTTAAGTTTTAGTACAGTGTCTGTAAAGTATCTAATTGTTTCTCTGTTATAGAATGCTAAAGCCCTAAAGGCGAAGAAAGAGGAAGGGAATAAAGCATTTAAAGAGGGCAGCTTTGAGGAGGCATATGACCTCTACTCAGAGGCCCTGACCATCGACCCAAACAACATCAAAACCAATGCCAAGCTGTACTGTAACCGAGCCACCGTCGGATCCAAGGTCTGCATTTGGTTTGAATACAGTATCAGTATTGGAGTGCCCCACAAGGCCAAACAGTAGACCCTTTTCCCGTTCTGAAGCTGGGTCACGTGTGTCTGTCTCATTTTGGTCATTGTTTGGCACTAACACATGACGTCTCTCTCTCTTCTGTGTCTTCAGTTAAACAAACTGGAGCAGGCCATTGAGGACTGCACAAAGGCTATTAAACTGGATGAGACCTATATTAAAGCTTATTTGAGAAGAGCCCAATGGTACGTCTGTGTTTCTACACCCTTTAAACACATTTGAAACTTTATTTGTTGTTTAACCTGTTCATTTTGCATTGTAGTTACATGGACACAGAGCAGTATGAAGAGGCTGTCAGAGACTATGAGAAGGTTTATCAAACCGAGAAGACTAAAGGTGTGTGTTCATTTTGAATGTGCATTAAAATGTTTCATTTCCATTAATCTTTTCTGTGTGGTGTGTTTCAGAACATAAGAACCTGTTGAAGAACGCTCAGTTAGAGCTGAAGAAAAGCAAGAGGAAAGATTATTACAAGGTCCTTGGGGTGGATAAAAATGCCACTGAAGATGAACTCAAGAAGGCCTATCGTAAACGAGCCCTGATGCACCACCCAGGTACATATTTCATTGAAAGAATCACAGCGTTTTCTCCTTATACAGTCTATATCTGCAAATTCCCCAGAAGTCTGTTCTGTAGGCAGTAATGGGGCCACCAGTGTGTAAGAAAGTCCTAAAGTTTTTTTTTTTTTTTTTTTGTTCCTGATTCTGTAACAGTCTCTCTTGTATTTTTCACAGACCGACATAGCGGAGCGAGTGCTGAGATGCAGAAAGAGGAAGAGAAGAAGTTTAAGGAGGTGGGCGAGGCCTTCACTGTGCTCTCAGACCCCAAGAAGAAGTCCCGCTATGACAGCGGCCACGACCTGGAGGATGATGACATGAACATGGGTCTGTCTCCTTCACACATTCAGGATCTTTTCATTTCTCTTTCTGTCAACACTGTTTTATTCTGTAATATGGGTTTCATTAATGCTTCGTTTATTATGTAGTACTGTCTTTCAACTGAAGCTTCCATAAAAAAAAGTCTAAAAATATTTTTTGATTTATGTATGGTGACTAATGATTTTGTTTCTTTTTATTTGCTTTTTTTCAGACTTTGATGCCAACAACATCTTCAAAGCATTCTTTGGTGGCCCTGGTGGCTTTAGTTTTGAAGGTAATTCATGTAAGGCAAACCTTTATTTACTTCTCTTACATTTATTAATCCAATGCTCAGACTGTACAGTAAACCATTGAATTTCATTACTGTTGTGAAGTTTGTGGTTGGTACGATTTTTCATGGTTTTGAACGACTTCTCTTAATGCTCACCAAGGAATCATTTACTCGATCAAAAATGCAGTAAAAACATTAATATTGTGAAATATTATAGCAATTTAAAAGAACTGTTTTCTATTGGAATATGTTTTAAAATGCAGTTCATTCCTGTGACGTCAGAGCTGATTTTTCAATATCATTATTCCTGTCTTCAGTGTCACATGATCCTTCAGAAATCATTCTAATATGCTGATTTGATGCTTAATTAACATTATCAATGTTGAAAAGTTGTGCTGTTTAATATTTTTGTGGAAACCATACATTTTTTTCACAATTCTTTGAACAAAGTTTAAAATGTCAGCATTTATTTAAAGTAGAAATCTGTTGTAACAATGTCCTTGCCACTTTTGATCAATTTAGACATCCTTGCTGAATAAAAGCATTCATTTCTTTCAAAATAATCGTACTGAACACAAACTTTTAATCGGATGTGTAAATGCATAAAATTAAGACTACTGTAAAAATACATTCTACAGCTGTTGTGATGTAGCTCATTTTCTCCTATTATATTCAGCTCTGATTATTTTCTTCTCAGTGTCACTAAATGTTTGTTTTTTTTTCCTGCAGCATCTGGACCTGGAAATTTCTTCTTCCAGTTTGGCTAACTTGGCAACTTTCAGCATGTATGCAGTAGTTTCACAACCTCTGAATTCCCCTGAACCGGACTACTCCCCTCCATCCCTGCTCTCTGATGTACTACACTCTGGTGTAATGGGCTTTCGGGCTCCACAGTTGGACCTGCGTCTGTGCCATTGACTTGTTTTACTGCTTGCACACAAAGACAACAACGGCAGGGGCATGACCATTCTGTACCAGAAAAACAACATGATGCATTGCACAGTTCTCTCTCTGATCGGTGTCCTTTTTGGCTCTTGTATTCCAGCTTTAGTTTTATTGTTTTGTTTTGCTTTTTTAATCCACTCTATCGAATGTACCCTGAATTCATTGTAATTTTCACTTTATTCGGCTTTCAAAAGCTTCAGCTACAACTTGAGTTGATGTTTGGGGCAACATAAGACGGTGCTACAGGCAAATCTGCTGTTTTTCCCAGGCTCACTCGAAATACTTTAATCTCATTTCCCATCCGCCCATAAACAGCCCCTCTCCCAGCATATTAGTGATCCAAATCCAAAGCACGTCAGAAAAAAACACGGGTTAGTACAGGAAGTCATCACTGCTAGTGCCATATAGATTGTTTAAACATGCACAGAGTCAGAATTCACACAGATATTATATTTATGCAACGTTTCAAACCATTTTAAAGACCTCAGCAAACTATTATGTGAATGCAGCACCTCATGCCAAATGTCACCGTAAGAATAACGCTGGTTCTGGGTTTCGTCAAGAGAGTGGATTTTGACTACTGCATACAGAGGTTCAGAGAGAGCGAGTTCACGCACCTGTTGACCACGTCCCTCTCCCAGATTCATTTGTCAATGTTTCCATTCAACCCCTTGCTGCATTGTACATTTTACTGGAATGTAAAGTGTTTCTTTGTTGATAGTTTATGACTGTTTAATTTTTTTTAACTGAAATACACTCACTTTTTTGATATGTATATTTATTGTAAATTTGCTGGATGTGAGCTTTGGATGGATGGATGATATTTCAATACACTAGGATCTACACTCTTAAAGGTTAAACCCAGGGAGAGACTATGTTTGGCCAGCACTCATTAACTTCTGAATTAAAGAGCCTCTGGAGGGAGTGAATGTCAGAGATCTGCTTATTTGTGGGTTTGATACCATTGACTCCACAGTGTGTATAATATGGATCTATGTACATTGCATGATCAGTGAGCCATGTTTACCGTTTTACCTAAATGTTCCTTGACATTGGATGGCTGAAGATTTGTTGTGCTCCAGCATTCTCATGCTGTCTTTGACCTGACCGTGTACCCAGTTAGGAAACTGCAATTTAAGCATTTGTCTGGAATACGTTCATATTGCTCATCTTGAAAGATCTTCAGTGTATTCAGAAGACAACGTCCATGCTGACTTTGCTCACTCCGCTGGAACAGTCTTGACTATGGGCCGTTTTTAAAAAGCCTTGTAAATAAAGTAAGCGTCTTTCTGTTTTCCCCTTCACCAAATTCTCAACTTCTCTGGCTCTTCCGATACATATGCATCACCACAGGCATTTTCACGTTCTTGCTATATTGATATATTTAAGGAAAAAAAAGTTAAGAAACGTTTGCTGCATTAAATATTACCATTATTTTAGAATATATTTTATATTTTGGAAATTAAAAGTATAAATTAGACCAAAGAAATTAAGATGGAATGACGTAGTACGTATTGGCATGTCAATCAAAGGTCTCTCACAGTTGATTGGCTGCGCAGAGTTTTGTTAGGCGCGTCGCTAGGATACAGCGGACAAGACTTTCCCGGACTACAAGTACATTTATTGATATGTATTGAATGGTTTTGATGTAGTTTTGTATAAATACGCATAAAATGTCCGATAACGAGGAAGGACAAGGGCCGAAGAGTACCTTTAGCACCTATGTAGCTGAAGGTGACCAGCTGTTCCAGAGGGGAGAGTATGTCAAAGCTATTGAGAGCTTTTCCACGGTAAGCTAATAACTATAACTGGGTCTGGGGATTATGCGAAATACATTTTACATTTCTTACATTAAACTGAGTGCTTTATTTCACACTTTATACGAATCTTCTTGCTGCCCACCAGGCTTTAAGTTTACAGCCGGATGATAAGAACTGTCTGGTCGCTAGATCCAGGTGTTATTTGAAACTAGGGGATGCAGAGAGCGCGCTGAAAGATGCCGAGACCTCCCTCAAAGACAACAAAGACTTCTTCAAGGTGTGTTCACCTGTGCTGCTCATTTCTGTTTTATCTCCTCGTTCGGTGCAGCAGGTTCAGTTTTGAGTCTGGTCTGTATGTTCACTTGTCCTGAAGGGGGCGTACTTACATAATCTGAAACCGTATCAGATGATTCTGGCAAAAGTAGGGCATTGCCCCAGAAAGTATGTGGAGACTTGTGTTGTGGCACACTTAAATTTGATAAATATTATTGCATTAGATAAAGAAATATTAAACCAAGTGACATTTATGTCACAAGCACGCTTTCGAATTTTACAAAAATAACATTGAATTAATAAAATGTTCTGTTTAAAATTAAAACTATAAGTTTTAAGACAAAAAGGACAAGTCAAACTAGTGAAACGTGAGAGACCATCCACTAAAGTCACCTAAAAATAGTTGCAAACTATTTTGTATGTAATGCAATGAAATTAACTAATTTTTAAGTGTGGCTTAAGTATCCAAATACTTTTTGGAGCTACTATATATAAACCCTCTAAATCAGGGGTGCCCAACCCTGTTCCTGGAGATCTACCTTCCTGCAGAGTTTAGCTCCGACCCTGATCAAACACACCTGAACCAACTAATTAGGATCTGAAGTAGCACTTGATAATTACAGACAGGTGTGTTTGATAAGGGTTGGAGCTAAACTCTGCAGGAAGGTAGATCTCCTGCTCTACATTAATAATGTCTAATCCCAGTAAAAGCACTGAATTATCAGCAGTTATGTTTATTTTCTAAATAGAATATATATACACACACACAGTATGTACATATATATATATATATATTTATTTATTTAGGTGTGTATGTGTGTGTATATATATATATATATATATATATATTAGTATAAACAATAAATATATAGTACGGGGTCAAATTTTGTCAAAATTAAAATTGATAGGAAAAGTGAAAAGGAACAGTAAAGACCTTTCACATTTTTCCAACAAATGTATTTCAAATAAATGTTGTTTTGAATTTCTATTCATCAAAGAAATCTCATGTTTTCCACAAAAAAATATTAAGCAGAACAGCTATTTTCTTGAGTAGTAAATCAGCATATCAGAATGATTTCCGAAGGGTCATGTGACACTGAAGACTGGAGTAATAATGCTGAAAATTCAGCTTTGATCACCGGAATGAAGTACATTTTACAATATATTACAATAGAAAACAGTTCTTTTAAACTGTAATAATATTTCACAATATTCCTGTTATTACTGGACTTTTAATGAAGTAAATGCAGCATTGGTGAACATAAGATACGTCTTTATATACATGGATTTACTTCTACACATCACTTTAAATGTAATATTTTTACTGGGTTATTAAACCAAGAGATTTTCAGATGAGTGTATATCATGTGATAGCAAGGAGCTGGCTTGTTACCACAAAGCATGTAGTGTCATGTAAGAATTATGAAAGAACAATGAAAAATCAGAAACCTGTTTGGTGCCATTGCATGTTCCTCTAGGCGTCCAGTCCCTTTAGTTACTGTAACTGCTTTGTATGAAAAGCTTCTTTTAACAGATAACCTATGAATCTCCTTCTCCATCCTGTCTCCTGCAGGGTCTGTATCAGAAAGCAGAAGCTCTCTACACTATGGGCGATTTTGAGTTTGCATTGGTCTACTATCACCGAGGCAATAAGCTGCGTCCAGAGCTGCAGGAGTTCAGGCTGGGAATCCAGAAAGCTCAAGAGGCAATCGTCAACTCAGTGGGCAGTAAGTCCTCAGACACAACATGATGAGAAATGTGGAGCTCATATTTTGGTTACACGGCAAACAGACCTCAGTTACCCACATCTCTCACCCCAACCCAAAAGGTCCTTCCTCTGTGAAGCTGGAAAATAAAGGAGACTTGTCTTTCTTCCACAAATCTAATGGGGTGAGCTGGCTATATTATCTTCTCTATCTCTTGCTCGCTCTCTCATTAAACCACCTGCCCTCATTATTCACCCTGCCACTGTTAATGCTTTCCATTTATGTTCATTTCAGCAGTTAGTAACACATATTTGTTTGCTTGTTCAAAGGTTCGTTCCAAGCATTTGAATCATTCTCATAAGAGGGAATCCAAAAAGCATGGCCAGAAGATGGGCAGAAATGAAAAAACAGCCAAGGAACTTCTGGGAGAGCTATACAGTGACAGAGAATACTTAGAGAAACTTCTACAAGATGAGGGTGTGTGTTTCAGGTTTTTTTTTTTTTTTTTTTTTTAGACCTTTTCAAATGTCAGATTGCATCTGTGAAAGTGCATATTCTATGAAGTTTCGCAATCTGCTCCTATACAGATCTTATAAAAGGTAAGATACGAACTGGAGAGCGTGTGCAAGATCTGATCGTAGGCTGTATCTCATATCTGGACACGCGGACGGCATTCTGGCAGCAGCAGAAGCCCATCTACGCTCGTCAGCGAGACAGAAAACTCATGCAGCAGCAGTGGAACCGACTTCTTCACAAGCCTCCCTCAGACCCCACTCGATACGTCCTCGACAGTCTGGAGGAGATTGACACAGGTGAATCTCTGCAGAGTTTGGGACGGGTCAAAGTCCACAGTATAGGTTCCTAGCAAGAAATTTAGCATTAGTCGCATACTCATGTTACACTTGCTAAACCATACACTATCGTTCAAATGTTCGGGAGTTAGAAGAATTTCTTTATATATTTGAAAGAAGTCTCTTCTGCTCACCAAGGATGCATTTATTTAATCAAAAACACTGTAAAAACAGACATATTATTACAATTTAAGCAACTAATTTCTATTTTAATATATTTTAAAATGTAGTTTATGTAGCAGCCATTAATGTCACAAGATCTTTCAGAAATCATTTTAATGTGCTGATTTGGTGCTCAAGAAACAATTATTATTATCAAAGAAGAAAACAGTGCTGCTTAATATTTTTGTGGATACAGGATACTTGTTTTTGTAACTTTATAAATGTCTTTACTGTCATTTTTGATCAATTTCATGCTGAAAAAAGTATTAATTTCTTTAAAAAAAAAAAATCTTACTGACCACAATTTTTTGAATGGTAGTGCATGTAGATGATTTTTAGCTAATTGATGAGTGGCTGACTTTCATCAGGAACAACACTGAGGTTAGGGCGGGAATTAAGTTTGGTTCCGCGAATTCACCACACTGACCAAAAGAAAAGCTGCTTGGTTGGAAAGTGACTGTAAGATTTTAGACTTATGATCTTTGCCTGACGGACAACAAACCAGGCGAGAAAATTCTGTAGACTTGCACTGAAGGAGAAACCTCATATCAGAATCAGAATAATGTCTTATCAATGCTCTGGCATCACAGGACTTTTGGATGGGCAAGCACTACTCTACATAATTTTCAGAAAATGTTTTGTGTGCTATTGGATTTTTGAGTATTATCTCTTCAATTGACAGCCTTGAGTTCTGGCAACACAGATAGCGGTCTGAAGAAGGCCCGTGAGCTCATGAAGGTGGTGAAGGAATGGTCTGGAGAAGTGCTGCCCAATAAGAGAGAAGTGCTTGGGAACCTCCACAGCTGCATTGGTAGTCATATAATATCAATAGCACAAGAATGAGAAATATGAAACTCTATGTTAAAAGTTTCTCTAATATTCTATGTAGGCAATGCACTGATGGATCTTGGGAATATGGACAAGGCTCTGCATCATCATGAGAAGGATCTGGAGATGGCCAAGAAAGGGTAGGCGACCATGAGAGCAGGAAAGCTACCTTTCTGTTTTTCTTGGTTGGTTAATAATCTACAACTCATCCGGTGTGTTTGGTTTGTGCTTTGTTTCGTAGCAACCTGATGGACAGTAAATCCAGGGCTCTGGACAACATTGGCCGTGTGTACGCACGGATTGGCAAGTTTCAACAAGCTATAGAAGTGTAAGTGCATTTGCTTTTAATTAATATTGACTTTGGTGTTGATGTACACAGAGAAATCTATTGTAATGGTCATTTAATTTTGTTCTGTGTGTGTTTGCGTAGCTGGGAGGAGAAGTTGCCTCTAGTATGTGGCGGGTTAGAGAAAGCCTGGTTGTTCCACGAGATCGGCCGCTGTTACCTAGAGCTGAAATGCTACAGCGAAGCACGAGACTATGGCTCCCGCTCACTCATTGCTGCGGATGACATCAGCGATGAAAAATGGCAGCTCAATGCCAGTGTGCTCATGGCGCAGGCAGAATGTGAGTCCAAACTACATTGCCCAGGAAGCTTAATAGACTCTCTGACCATGAATAATCAAATTTCCCACATTGCTTTGAATCAATAGGAGTTAATGTGGTCGTTATGTATATTTGATCCATGCCACGCCGTACAATTAGATAATTTTACATCCTCTTTCTCTCTGACACAGTGAAGCTGGGTAACTACAAGGCCTGTGTGTTGCACTTTGAGAGGGCACTGGACCGGGCAAAACTGTTGCAGGATGACTCTGCCAGCGAAGCCATCCAGAAGGTCAACACAGACATTCCTATCCTGCTCTCTCACTCTCTCCCTCATCCCTCTCACCATCCATCTCGCCTGTGGCCTTTTCTATAGTCCCATTCAAACTACACTAAAATTCTAAATCATGCAGGATGCGCATTATGGTTTATATCACAGATGATCACAATTGTTGTTTGTTTGACTAAAGGTATACCCATATGTACTATTGTTCTGCAAATATTTATCCAGTCATTTCAATAGGAATACACGCAACCAGAAATTTTGCATAAGGGTGCTTTACACTATACACACTGTTTTAAAGTATCTTTACAGAAATTCATGGTGCTGATGTTTATAATACCTTAATATCGTAATTCCTTATTGTCAGCAGGTTTGGCAAGCTAACAAGTGACCAAACCATCAAAAACCCAACCTGAAACCAGCCTGAAGTTCAAAAAACTGCCTTAGTTTTACACAAACAAACTAGCTGCCAAGTAATTTTGATGTATTTCTCTTTTTGCAGAATTTGCTGCATGGAGACATAACCTGAGGAGGCCAGAGAAACTGGAATGGTGCATTTTCTTACTTCTATACAAATGACCCCGAAAACTCCCACAATCCTCCTCTGCTCTTTAGTGTCTTTAGGCATAAAGTCTGTATCCTCAAAGACTTATTGAGAAATACTGATACTTCCACCTGCAAACCGCAAAGCCTGCTGGGATTTCCACTGAGGTTTTTTGGTTAGTACCAGTTTAGAAGTTCAAACTCAGTTGAAAAGAGAATATATTTTGTAAACACGTAAAGTCTAAAACAGTCATACTGTAGATAGACAGACAGATAGATAGATAGATAGATAGATAGATTTACTTAAAGCCTTTATGTATAATGCATTATAAAAGTAGTTTTAATGCATTGTACATTAATTCACCTTATAATGCATTGTACAATCTCATGTTTATTACAGTTCTAAGAAATATTAGTATTGTAATTTTACAGTTGCTTTGTAAACTAAAATTGTGATTATAATTATACTTATATTTTTATTTTGTTTTATTTTTACATAGTACAGTTTCACAAAATTTCTGTTGTTTCATTATTATTTAAATTTTGTACCGTTGTTCTGTAAATACTCTATTTTTATTTTATGGTGAAATATTACAACAGTAACATTTCAAATTTTGTTGAATTTTTTTTTATGTAGTAATAATAATAAATATAATAAAATAAATCCTTATATATATATATATATATATATATACTATTTTATATAAAGAGCTGAGCATTGTCTGCATTGTCACACTGCGTAGCTCTGCCAACAGTGAAAACTCATTGGACCCAAATCCTGCTCCTAGTGCATGTTAAATATTAAATGTGGAGATTGATTGTGGAAGCTAAGACGCATATCCAAAGTTCTGTCATGAAACTCTAGATAGCGCAGTCTGATAGGCCTAACTCAGTCAGACATAATGACAACATTATCACATGGCGCAGCTGATTGGTTCTTTTTTGAGCCAATGAGCTGCTGCTCAATATTAAAATTCTTGGCTGTAGCAGTTGAAGCGTGCTTCAGAAACCCTCCACCTTCCCCAGCTCCACCTGTATAGATCTGCTACGGGGTGATTCATGTATGT